TCTTAAGTTTTCGCGGGTACTTACATGTATGGTATTCAGCTTTGTTCAGGTATTTTCCCACATCATTATAGTTGTGCTTTTAAAGTTGTAGCAACGTTTTGGCAGAATCTCATCTGCCATTATCAGGCTTCTGTATTGTGTTCGTCTGTGAGTCAGACTTTTACAGTTGTTTCAGTTTTAAATTTGGGGCTAGCCTACTGCTGTGCCAGAATGGTTTTTTCTTCATCCTGATTGGTTGGGAGTCTTGGTCTATGTTTATTGGTCTTGGAGTTTGCTGTGTTCTGCTTGATTGGTGTTTCTAATATCTTCTGTCTGTTTTGTGGCTTTTTTTGTCTTGATTGGCTGGCAACATTGTGTTCCTGTATTCAGCCACAGAATTATCAGAGAAGCCATAGAGATTGAAAAAAAGACCTGAAAGCATGAATAGAAGAGATGATTCCACCAGACTGTCAATTATTTGGAAGCCTGCACTCACAAACAAAAAAATCTCCACACCACAAGCCAGGCAAACACCTGGGCACAAACAGATCCCCCCTGATACCTCCAGCTCAAACACACCCCAACCAGGCACCCAGATGAAACCTAGCTTCCTAACAAATGATAGCCGTCCATTTACTCAGAGCCAAGCCTCCAATACAGGAACACAATGTTGCCAGCCAACTGGGAGTTCCGGTTTGCAGCGCTTTGGGGCAGGCAGGAATCTGTGATCATGCACGGTTTCTGCCTGCGCTTGCCGCTGGAGTGCCCCAAGCCAGCCGACTTCAGGGCTAAGCCACCCCGTAGAGGTGGTGAAGACAGGGGAGACCTGGCAGGGTCGAGGGGAGCCGCACCTCTCCTCCTCAGCTGGCTAAACTCCCTTTTCCGAAGGTGGTAAGAGCGGCGGTCAGAAATGGCCGCCTCAAAGAAGCATTCAGCCGGAAAAGAAAGTGCAGGAGGAAGTTAAGAAGTGAAAGTTTTTGCCTGACCGGGACAAAAAGCAACAACTAAGGTACCCTGGAATTTAAATTTTGCAAAAGATACATCGCTCCCAAAGAAGAGTTGGAAGCAGAGAACGAAAGTGAAAAGGGAAAGTATTTTTTTTCACTCTCCTTCCTAACATTGACAGCGAACAGAAATGAATGAGAAATCAGAAAAACCCGCTTTGGCATCAATAGGTAATTAAACTGGATAATTAAATGTCAAGGGGATAATAAGGATTTCTGAACACTAAAAAAACAACAACTTTTTTTTCTTGCTGTAAGTGGGAAGGGAGAGGAAAAGAATAACAGCAGGATTCAGAAGGAGGAGACTGCCTAGAACTTAAAAGATACATTTTAACTGGAATTTTGTAACTAAACAGTAACCCCAGGAAGAGAGGGTGAAAAAAGAAGAAAGTGTCAAAAGAAACAGCTTGTGTGTATTTGGATTGTTTGGTGACTTAGGGACTTTTGGAAATTATATTTGAATGACTAAAAACACTTGGGTGGTTGTTTGAAAAAAAATTTTTTTTTACAATGGCATCACTTGTGGATGAACTGAAAATGGAATTTAAAAAAATACAAAGAACAGGAACAAGAAGGGAAGGGCTCTCTTGGCTCTCTTTTTCAATTCTTAGAAATGGCGATCTGTACCTACGAGAAACTACAAGAAAGGACTGTGCAACAAGAGGATTGGGACAAAGAAGAAGCCATCTTTAACAAACAAGTAACTTTACTTGGGGAAGAAAGGGGAAAGGAGGAAAAGAAAATGGAGACTTTAAGATCTAAAAAAACAACCAAAAAAGGGAAAATAAGGTGAAAAGTGGATATAATGTTAGAAAGCAACAGAAAGGGGGAATACAGAAGAGGGAAATGGAGGTGGAGAGACAAGGGGGTAAAAAGGGCAGAGAGAAGAAGCAAGGGAGGAAGGAAGGGATGAGAAGCTTTAAAGGTGTGGAGCAAGATGTAAAGAAACAGGACTTATTTAGAGATAATGGGTAAAAACTTAACTGAAAAAGTGATTCTGCAAAGGTACATAAGATTGTATTGTTATATTTGTATTAGAAATAATGTTAGAAAATTGGAAACAACATGTGATTAAAAAGTGAGATAAAATACTCAGTGTAATTCAGTGAAATTTTTGTGAACAAAAGGAAGGAAATGAAATAAATGAGAGAATTGAATTAGGAAGGAATGGGAACATTTTAATGACACAATGTTTTAAAATATAAGTGAAGTGGGGGAAAAATAATTATGAAAAGTTTATAAGTGTTCCCATAGAAGTATGATACTTATTTGAAAAGTAATGTGTAAAATGTTTAAGATTTAAATGAATATTAATATTAATGATAGATTTGAATTGGTATGGATTGTTGTTTTAATTATATTATATATTTATAATTTTTTTCTTTTTAAAATATAGTGTGTAACTTTACAATGTACTAAGCAGAATCCAAATGGAAGTTATGTATTATACTAAGTGTTATAAATTTAGGGGAAAGAGATAAAGGCGTCATACTCCAATCAGTGATTACAGGAGAAATTTTGTTTAAAGAGAAAAGATAATAGACAGCTGGAAACAGGACACACAAAGAATATAAGCATAATGATCTGAACTGAGATAAATAAAATAAAACTAAGAAAGTTAAAAGAGGGGAGAAGCTATATAGAAAATGTAGAATGGCAATAAGATATGGAATAGTATATAAAATGAGCATGAATTTGAATTTGTGTCTGTACGAAGAGATGTAACCCGGGATCAAGCTGCTTTCAAAAAAGATGTTTTATGTTTTTATGTTTTATGTTTTTTTTGTTTGTGTTTGTTTTTGAAAATCAATAAAATTTGTTAAAAAAAAAATGTTGCCAGCCAACCAAGACAAAAAAAGCCACAAAACAGACAGAAGATATTAGAAACACCAATCAAGCAGAACACAGCAAACTCCAAGACCAATAAACACAGACCAAGACTCCAATCAATCAGGATGAAGAAAAAAACATTCTGGCACAGCAATAGGCTAGCCCCAAATTTAAAACTGAAACAACTGTAAAAGTCTGACTCACAGACGAACACAATACAGAAGCCTGATGATGGCAGATGAGATTCTGCCAAAATGTTGCTACAACTTTAAAAGCACAACTATAATGATGTGGGAAAATACCCGAACAAAGCTGAATACCATATATATCCCCATCTCACTGATGCCTTTCAGTGCAAACAACATTATACAAAATGCAGTGGCATAAAGAACATTAAACCAAAGGAATTAAAGATATAAGGTAAAAAATTAGGAAAAGGACAGCTAAATCAACAATCAATAATCAACCAATGGAACAGCTTGCCCTCGAAAGTTGTGGGAGCGCCATCACTTGAGACTTTCAAGAAGAGATTGGACTGCCATTTGTCAGAAATGGTGTAGGGTCTCCCGCTTGGGCGAGGGGTTGGACTAGATGACCTACAAGGTCCCTTCCATCTGTATCCGTATCTGTAAATCTAGGTTATATCCATACTACTATCCACTTTATCTCTTCATATTTTTCTATTAGAAAGTGAAAGTGAAGCCACCACAAATGTGATAGACAGATAGACAATCAAGAGACATTCTTACAAATTTCAGTTGATTCATCTACATCTATTTATCATTTCATTCATTCTCTATTGCACTTTTAACTTATTCTCTCTCTCATTTTAAGGATATCCAGTCACAACTTTCTCAGTCTTCCCCTTGACCCATTCACCTCTTACTAATTTGTTTTACAGATCAATCTCATTCATTCTTTTTTTACTGATCAAACCACCTCAACATATTCATCATACAGTCACTCACCTTTGTATTTAATAGCCTTCACTTAGGATCTTTTAACCCTCTCTCTTTCTTTTACTATTTCTTCAGTACCTTATTCCTATTAGAGATCTTTACTATTACTGCTATATTATTATAGTTCTTGGTTCTTTGTTTTAAGATCTGGATCCTGTTTAGTGTAAAGGCAGAAAGGCAGTGGGAAGCATTTTCCAGATGAGACATTGACTTAGTCAATGACTTAGATAATATTTTCTGGTGCAGTAGTAACATCGAAATAAATCTTTGGGTATTGACTTCGTTATTTCATTGAGAGGAGAATGCTTAGTAATCTTTAAAAGCATTCTGGTTACCATTCTGAAGAGAAAATATTAGGTTCAACATCTGAGAATCCAAAAACCTCTAGGCAGTGGAATCAAAATGATAGACCATTATTTATTAGTTATGTATTGCATTTACATCATGCACTTTCTTAAAACCTCCAGATGACATAAATGGAGATCTCCCTAATTTTTCTCAGCAAGTCTGTGTTACAGCTTGGTCTGAGAGAGAGAACAACTAGTCCTAAGTCACCCAATAATCTGCATGGTCAAGTGGTTCAATCGGGCGCAAATCCAATCTTAAGTTTAATACATAAAACTCAAGATGGCCTTTTGGTCTAGTCTACCAAAATGATTTGTATGCAAGTAAAAAAAAAACTGCCATCCCTTCTTGTAGGAAATGCTGGTAAAGGATTTTCATGAACTGCATGCAACAGTGGAGAAAATGGGGCTCTTTAAGTCAAGATTCAGCTTTTTTGCTTGGATGTTTCTGCATGCTTTCATACTAGACATTGCATCTTGGTCTACTATCTGGTATTTTGGAAAATCCTGGACGCCTTTCCTTCTTGGAGTAGCAATGTTCACCATTGGACAGGTAAACTCTTTGTGATGTAGAGCATAGCAGTGTTGTAGAACAGTCTTCAGCATATTTCAGACAATTTAATTGCTTTCATTAGTAACTTAACACCTTGTACGTGTATGTCAGTTTTCAATTCTTTGAGCTGTTGAATCTAAATATAGTAACTAAACACAGATTAAGAAAAATGCTTCAGTACCTGAGAGAATTATACTGCAGAATATGCATGATATTGCTTCATCTTTTTTGTCTGCTTAAATTAAAATGTTTGAAAGGAAGGCAGCAAGTAATAGTATTTGCTGATAGCATACAGCATATAAAGTCTTATGTATGTATGTATGTATGTATGTATGTATGTATGTATGTGTATGTATACACACAGAGACATGTACCTACACATACAGTATATAATCACACAATATGTGTAGTATAACTGGTTCTTTTCAATTAATTAATGATGATTAATGATGTTCCTCTACCAATTAATTCATGTAGAAAAAATGTTGAGAAATCATACAGCGTCATGTTTGTTGACTTTTGCTTCCAGATCCAGTATGGTTTTCTCCAGCATGATCTTGGCCATGTGTCGGTCTTTGAAAAACTCAAGTGGAATAAAGTAGCTCACTTTGTGGTGTTTGACATTCTTAAGGTCAGAATCCACCCAAAAGAAGGGATGATGATTTGTGATTTATATATTTGAAGTTGGGTCTGCCAATCCATCGTTATTTTCTGTCTCTAGGGTTTGAAACATAGGATAAGAATAAAGAACTAATATAGAACACTTAAAGCACTGAAGGGCTGAAAATATAAAATCATCTTTTTGCAATATCTCTGTAAAGACTGATAGTATTATTAGTGCTTCCTTACAGAAAAGGGTGATAGAATAGAATAGAATTCTTTATTGGCCAAGTGTGGCCAAGTGTGATGGGGTTAAAAGGAATATAGCCAATCTTCATTTCATAGGTATGGATCATTTTTAACAATACTGCCCTAGCTGTGCTTTTTCACTACTAAACAGAAAATAATGGAGTGTTTCTAGTTTATTTTTGTTTCACACAAACGCATTTAACATCAAAGCTGGAATTTTCAATAGTCAGTCTTGGAATAAAACTTTTTCAGATGCTTAATAGGAAGGGGACAAAATGAGTCTAGCTTACACAGAAGTAATGGGGGTCAGAGTGCCATTACTGTGCACAATTCAATTCCTGCTAGATGGATGGAAGCATAAACCAAAAGAACTGCAGCTGGTTTATGTGTTTTGTTTGTAAATAGTCAGTGGGGAATACAAAAGACACAGCATTATTCATAAATAGGTGGAATTTATATTTGTACTTCTGTACTTCTCAAGGGAGGGCCAATGGGCCTATGGAACCACATGCATAATCAACATCACGCCAAACCCAACTGCTTCCGCAAGGACCCTGATATCAACACACATCCAATGTTTTTCAGCCTGGGGAAGAAACTTTCCTTGAAGGTAAATAAATAGAAAGTCTTAGGCAGATAAAAGACCCTGAAAAAATATTAGCAGTACTAAAAGAAAAAAACTACCATATCTCTGATGAGCAATCTAGGAAAGTAGGAAGAAAAGATTCTTTCTATCTCCCATATTTCTTTATAGCAACTCTTGCTGCTATTGGATCAGTTCAGGCACTGCCTTATTTTCTAGTCACTGCTTCTGTAATGAATCTGTCAAACTTTTTTTCTTCTTTTGGATAATAATCCCTTTCATGTTTGCTTGCCAGTTACATCAGAACCTGTTGCTATATTTCATTTTCTCCGGGCTATTTGGAACTTAAACAAGAGAAGGCCCCTGATTAGAAAATCGTTCCTATCTTAACAGATCTTGATAACTACATAGATTTCCTCTCTGCTCAGAGCACCATTTCATAGTACAAATTTACAGGCAAAATATCAATTTTACAGTTAAATATTTAGTTTTCTGGTATCTTTCTCTCTCTCTTTACCCCAACCAAGTTGTATGAGTAGGACTGTTAACGATTCTGAGCTACATTTAATGACACAAAGTTCCACTGCACCTCTGCATTAATCTGTACAGTGCAGTCTAAATATGTATTCCCCTTCCCAAAAGTTGTGCTTAGATGAATGCAAAGTCAAATAATTTAACCAAGTGAATTGTGCATGTTTAAGGCTGCAGTAAAATGCAGTGCCCCTCCAAAAGGTGACAAACTATCATTTTTAATGTGACAAAAAAAGAAAAAGTAATTTAACTTGTGGGGATTCAATGTAGGAATAAACTGAATAAAACTGAATCAAATTAAAATGAAATCATATTTAATTTTGGTACTGTCTTGTCCATGCTTTTCCCCTGGCTCTGTTTATCTTGGAAAGGTAGCTTCCCTCAAAGATCAGGTGCAACCCTCAGCACACAAAAGCTGTGTGTATGGCAGAAATTCAAGAATCACAGATCAAATAATCTGTGATATAGTAATATGCAAAGATGAAAATTTTTCAAGAATCTATATTGTAAACAATGGGCCCTGACAACATGACTTTGATGTGGAATTTACATAGTTGTTGATTTAACTGTTTGCTCTCTTGCTCCTTGTGCAGCTTGGAAAAAAGAAAAGGAAGTATATGCCTTACCAGTACCAACATAATTACTTCATCTGTAAGTGTTTTATCATGTTTACAGGAGCCTAAATTTGGAGGAGAATAACCAATGAAGTTATATATCAGCACTATAAAGCAGAACAGACTAAGAAACGAATGCCACACAGGTTGGGATTACTTTTATTGGAACATCTAGAGCAGACTTGTCAAACTCGCGGCCCGTGGGCCAGATGCATCAAGCCCACCCTGTTTTAGTGGGCCACGCCCATCCTGTTTTAGTGAAGGGTGGAAGTGTCATGATATATCACGTGAAGACAACATGACACCGCAGGTTTGATACCCCTGACCTAGAGTAACAGGATCGTGTGGATATGAATGTGTTCTTTCCTTTATGTCAGGGGTTTCAAACTCATAGTCATGGTTGTGTCACGTGACATATCAGGACTTTTTCCCACTTCGCTAAACAGGATGTATTATACTTTATTTTAGTCACACACTCATTTTGTATTCTCCTTTTGCATTTTTATATTAGTGCTTGCCCCATTGATGTTTATAATTGGTACCCAATTTCTGCCCTTTCGCTTTTTCCTTCTAAGAAGAAAATGGTTGGTAAGTTATAACACCTCTTTATTTTGGGGATTGGTATATGGTCAAGTGTAACACATAAAGGTCCTGAATCCTCCTTCTTTCTAATGAGCTACAGAAGATGCATTACAAAATGCAAGTTGCTTTCTTTCCTTAATCCTCCACAACATCATGGGAACATTCCCTGCCATTCATGATTTCATTGGCATTCCCTTTGGTCAGCACCATGGAACAGAAAATGTAACTGGTTTGTTTAGGAAGGGAAGGGTGAGCAATAAGCAAATAGTACAATGAAAGCCAAGGAATGCTTGTCACAGCTGCAAAGAGCTGACCACAGTATCTACCCTGATGGTAACAATGAGCCTGTTCCACTGGATTACATTAGGCATTAGTGAAATTATCTCCTAGACCAGTGATCCCCAACCTTTTTTATGCCGCGGCCCGGTACCGGCATCAGCTGGGCGCCGCCATCTTTTTTTGATGAAAAAGTGCTTCCGGTGAGCTTTTCCGGGTAGAAAGCTCACCGGAAACACTTTTTCATCAAAAAAAGATGGCGGCGCCCAGCAAACCAGCGGCCCGGTAGGACTTGTTCCACGGACCGGTACCAGTCCACGGACCGGTGGTTGGGGACCCCTGTCCTAGACTATGAATCTTTTCCAAGCCAACCTGAAAGTCAGAAAACAAGCACACACTCCTCCAGGCAGAGGCAGTAGCAACAGTGGAACAGAAAGTGATGAGGAGCAGAGGAAGAGATTGCCAGGAGATTATATTTCTAACTGCCATGGATATCGGGTTGCATTTACAGAGTGATGGGGGAGATTATCTGGGCACTAGTATGTGGAGTACAGATACAATTTAATAATAATAACAATGCAACCAGTTAGACATATTGTGGGTATAAAACTTCATTCTTCCCCATGGATGCAAATCCCCCCCCCACATTACTCATGCCACTATCCATTGCAATTCTCAGTCCCTTTGAAACCTTTAGCAGCTTCAAGAATCCCATTTCTAGAGAAATTCTTTCCATTTTGATGTAAAGCAAGGTTTCTGCCCAACTGATGCTAGTATGCTCCACCCCCACTCTTTTTATCATTGTGGGGGTTTTACTAGATGCACAAATGAAAAGACCCTGAAAATCCTTCAGCACTACAATGCACCAGAGGTGGTATTCTACCTGTTTGCACCAGTTTGGGAGAATCGGTAGCAGTGATTTGGTGTGGGTCGCCAAACTGGTGGCGACCCCTGGCTGGCCACGCCCCTGACCCAGTTGCCTGGTCGCCCGGTCGCTCACTTGCCCGGTCACTCTCCTAGCTCTCCCTACCATGTGGTGGCTGTGGCACAGCTCGGGTGGATGTCCTGGGGCTGCTGCACATGTGTACCATGTGTGCAGCCACTACACATGCAGTGCACATGTGCAGCAGTCCCAGGACATCTGCCTGCCTGCCTGCCCACCCTCCTGGAGCATGCTTTCTGCCTCCTCCCAGCAGATGCGCCTCTTCCAGCCTGGGCTGGCCCAGCCAGCCAGCAGGTGGGTGGGCAGATGTCCCGGGGCTTCTCACTCCACTTGTCACAAGATGCGTGCAGCTGCTGCGTGCTTTTTGCGGTGCCGGGCCCGGCAAGTCCAAGGAGCTGGCACACAGAACAGGGCGGGCCCGGACCATTGATAAGCGGAGTGAAGCTGGAGTTAGTAATTTTCACTGCAAGAAGCCTGCAACTGCCTCGTGTTCTCAAGCCCCACCGAAAAAAGCAAAACATGCGCTGGCCCATTGGAGATGTGGAATGGCAGCTACAGGGTTCTCACACCGAAAAAGGGGCAGCTGGAGGAGACTCTTTTTCGGTGCCAAAAGCCTCCGCCAGCCGCCTCTTTCGGTGGGAAAAGCCTCCCGCAACCTGGCTGCTTCTTTCCTCCTCCTTGGCCATACTGAACAAACAGGCAGAGAAGGAAAAGAGCAGCCGCCAGGTTGCGGGAGGCTTCTCATGCTGAAAGAGGTGGCTGGAGACCGAAAAAGAGTTGCCTCTAGCCGCCCCCTTTTTGGTGCGAGAAACCTGTAGCTGCTGCTCCGCTTCTCCAATGGGCGGGTGATGTGCTTTTTTCAGTGGGGCTGGAGAACACGCGACAGGCTTCTCGCAGCGAAAATGACTGATCTCTGGCTTCACTCCACTTCTCCAATGGTCCGGGACCGCCTTGTTCTATACACTGCCAACTCATTGTTGGAGAGGTGTAGCCCCTGAATACATGAGAAGTCTTGGGCAAAGTTCTCTGACTTAAAACGCCTCTGTGCAGTGTCTGCCTCCCTTCACGCTCCTTGTGCATGCCAGGAGTGCCCAACTGGAGCAAGAGAGAGTGAAGTTGGCTGCTATGGGGCGAGCACCTTGGCTTCCCCCCTTGCTCCTCACAGTCACCCTGAGCCAGTGCAGTTCTTTAGTTGGGCAGCCAGACAGCCGGAGCAGCACCCGGAGCAGCAACAGGCAGCACCTCAACAATGAGGTACAGTAAGATTTGGCAGTGCAAATTTATCTCCGAGGGGCTTCTGGCAAAAAACAAAACAAAAACCACCCAAAAACAAAACCCATTCGGCAGGCAGTTGCAATCTTTAGTTGGGCTTTTTTTTTTTTTGTCAACCCAAGGGCAGAGGGGAGGGGAGGTACGTAGGGAATGACCCTGTCTCTGCAGCATCGGTCATGTGAGGGAGTGGGCGTGGCCAACTGGACGTCATTCACAGCAAGGTGCCGCATCACCTTGCCGAGTTGTCCACGCCCACTCAGTCACATGACCACCAAGCCATGCCCACCAAACAAGCCACACCCACAGAACCGGTAATAAAAAATTTTGAATCCCACCACTGCACTGCACACTGCTTATTATTCTGCATGTTATTGCATTATAGCCTTTAGCATTTCTATTTGCCACATTGTAACTAATTAATCTGAAATTGACAAAAGAACTCATAATAATGATCCACATGCTGTTACTATTGTGCTTATTTAACACTCTGTTCTTTGACAGGAGCTGTTTACCTATCTTTTCTTTTACTTCCGTGTCTGCCTCATGTATGTTCCTTTAATGGGATTTAAGAGCTTTATGGCTTACTACTACTTAGCAAGGTAATAATAATTATGTAAAACTCTACCCTGCTTCTATGATTCAAATAATGCTTTTAAATGCTGTGAAGTCAAAAAGAGACCTTCAATATGTACATAGCTAACTTTGTTTACCAGTCTGAAAAAAATAACGAAGTCTCCATTTCTTGTTGACTTAATATGGTGATCTAAAACAAGAAAACTGTTAAAATTAGTATACACTGTTACTGATCACTATTACTGATTTGAGAGATGCAATAAATATCTTCCACATGGTGCATGCCACAAAAGGGCAACAAGTAATATCTGTATCTATGACTATATTGTTTGGGTTTTTTAACTTAAAAATGATATGTCATCCCTCCTCAAGCTCACCTCAAACTAAGTTTGTAACCCCAAAAACTTTAACCTTAGATTGTCTACTACTGACCTCACCCCTTTCCCAAGAGGTCTGTAGGGGGGCATGCATAAGTGCACCAAAATGCCTACCATCCCTGTTCTATTGTTTCTTTTTATTTTTCTTATATGTATCTATTTCATGTATTCATAACTATGTTTATACTTATACCTTATCTTGTAAGTGATTGACAAATCAAATCAAATAAATAAATAAATAAATAAATTAAAAGCATAAAAATGAAAATAAATTAAAAATAATCATGCTATTGCAAAGAGCATAGTTCACCACAATGATCTTGATCAAACTCTTGTTATTATTTGGTCATCACCAATTATCAAATTATTACTTACCAATTATCAGTCTCAAATATTCTTCACTCATTGCCAAATAGCTTCATCTGAGAACAGAGGTTGGTGTTTAAAAGCTTGATCTTATACTATGAGCAGGTTGGTATAGGAGGAGACATTTCTTTAAGGATTTATTTCCTCAGAAAAAAATAATATTGTTATTTATTTGTCCTGCACTTCACAGTTAGATAAAAATTGCATCTTGGTGGCTTCATCCAAGGAGTGGGGGCATTTGGAGAGCTTGTATATATGCATATACAACCTGTCTCCCAATTTGTGTTTCATCCAATCTACCTCACAGCAAAAGGCCTCAAATGTAGTTTTGCTAGCATGCCATTTTGTAGCCCCAAAACCCTCTCAGAAGTTGTTGGACCAATTAGCTATAAGGCTGACCCTACACCAGGAAAATGAAGGAATTTTAGACTTCTTTAATTTTTTCACAAATGACTCCTCTGTTACAATTTGGCGAGCAATCTACCTGAAAGATTATTTCCTAAACAAACTGACAAACATACATATGCATGCTGCAAATGCCTGACTAGTGCATGTTGTGGGGGAGGGGAGTAGAAAACTCTTTGAGATTTTTTGTCAAAGGAAGGAGCTGTTTGTAACTCATATGCCACTAAAAGTTCTGGAGACAATGCATGTAGTGATATTCAATCCAGAAGAATGTCAGTATTCTGTTCAATGGCTGGGATTCTTGGTGTAGCTGTTGACCAGTCCAAACTGGCAACAGTTGGCTCAGGGTGATGTGTGTGAAACCCAAACTCATAAATACTGTATATAATTAACATTGAGCTAAAAAGGTTTTGATCAATTGATAGTGAGGACACATTGGAGAATTCAGGCTGGTTTTAAAGTACGTTGAGAATTATTTGCAAATGAGAAGTGATTATGGAAAAGGAGCTGTGAAGGCAAATACAGACAAATCTTAAGCACTTTCCTCCTTCTTTAGAAACTAAGCTGAACTTAAGCACTTTTATCCATCTTTCTTGACCAATAGTTAATCCAAATGTGGGCAGTTCATCAGCTTGTGTAACTAATAGTACTACTTACTTAATTGAGAACTCTGAAGAATATGAGTTTTAGAATACCTGAAACTTCTAACTAGATATTAGGGCTTAAAGTGTGATAGATTGTACAAGATTCAGTTGTGGTATTCATCCAGTTCTCACCAGTTCGCATGAACTGGTAGCAACAATTTGGTGTGGGTCACTAAATCAGTAGTGACTTCTAGCTGGCCACACCCCCAACCTGGTCGCTGCTCACTCACTTATTCCACCTGCCCAATGCTTGCTCACCCCGCCTGCCTGACGCTCGCCCTGCCCAGTCACTCCCCACCTCCTATGTGGCACACTGGGTGTTCATGGCTTGCCTTAATAGCCTGCCTTCCCACGTGGTGCCTATGCCCCAACTGAGCAGCCCTGATCTGCCTGCTCACAGGTAAGCCTGTGAGTCATGCTATCCCCTCCACAATCCCCAGAGCTTGCTGCCCCCCTCTGTCCCTGGAGCTTGCCACCCCCCACCATCCCCCCAGGTTGCTGGGGGCCCCCATCCCCAGAGCATGCTAGTGGGGGCTCACTGTCTTTGGAGCTGGTCGGGGCCCCCCACCATCCCCAGAGCTCGCTGTCCCCCACCATCCCCGAAGCTTGCCAGCTCCCTCACCATCCCCGGAGCTGCCAGGGCTCCCATTGTCCCTGGAGTTTGCTGAGGGCCCCCACTGTCCCTGGGCTCGGCTAGCTGGTTAAGCTGCCACGTGGCACTCTCCCAGCTGTTCCTACCACATGGCGGCCATGGCACAGCTCTCCAAAAGGGCAGAAGGATGTCCTGGGACTGCCTCCTAGAGCAGTGCTACCGCCGCTACCCCTCACTTTCTTCCTTTTGTCCCCTGGGAGATGGAAGAAAGATGTGGTGCAGCCCCGGGACATATGCCTGCCCTGCCCTCCTGCCGCTGCGGCCACTCGCTTTCTTCCTTTCATCATCTGAGAGAAGGAAGAAAGTACCACAGGTGCAGCCCTGGGACATCCGCCCGCCACACCCTCCTGCCCCTGCGGCTGCTCACTTTCTACCTTTCACTCCCTGGGAGAAGGAAGAAAGTGAGCGGCAGTGGAGGTGCTCCAACCAGGAGGGCAAGCAGATATCCCGGGTCTGCTTCTTGGAGCAGTACCACCATTGCTGCCGCTGCCTCTTGCTTTCTTCCTTCTCCTGCCACCCATTGCCTGATCAGTTCATCCCAGACCAGGTGTGTGTGTGTGAGAGAGAGAGTGTGATATGTGTGTGTGTGAGAGAGAAAGTGAGAGAGAGAAAGAGCAAGAAAGAAAGAGGAAGGGAGAAAAAGAGATAAAGGAAGGAAGGAAGGAAGGGAGAGAGAGAGAGAGAGAGAGAGAAAGAAAGAAAGAAAGAAAGAAAGAAAGAAAGAAAGAAAGAAAGAAAGAAAGAAAGAAAGAAAGAAAGAAAGAAAGAAAGAAAGAAAGAAAAATAGAAGGGGGAGAGTGTGTGTGTGGTGTGTGTGTGAGAGAGAGAGAGAGAGAAGAAAGAAAAAAGAAAGAAAGAAAATAGGAAGGGAGGGAGAGAGAGAGGAAAAAAAACTTCTGTTCCATTATTTATCATGTGTTAATATTTTACACTGTCCCTACCCCTAGAGTGATTTTACTGCCTTTCTTTTGCCCAGGGCTATCACATATTTTTCAGGGATTTACATTCATTCAATGTCTATAGTCCAGAGCATAAATATGTGTGTGTTTAACAGAGTTGAAAGGGACTTTGGAGGTCTTCTAGTCCAGCGGTCGCCTACCGGTGGGCTGCTGCCCACTGGTGGGCTGTGAGAAAATTTTGGTGGGCTGTAGAGAAATTTTACCCCAAGAGCAACCCCCCAAAGCAAGTAATCCAGGCTGCGCAGAAACACAAGTGCTGCACGGCCCACATGGCCCGCGGGAACCCTCCCCGCCCACTCACTCCTTACCCCGTAAACTTGCCTGCTAAATTTCTATTTTTCCTTTTTCCAACCATCATCTGTTCTCTGTGCCGGGAGATTTAGTTTAGCTAGGAAGCAGAAAATGGTTGGATTTCTTGCTTTCCAGCTAGTCTTTAGATCTTTGGCTCTGCTTTTAAGTACAGCCGAACCTCCCTTAGGACTGAAGGTTTGCTTGCAAGCAAATTCAGTGCAGACTCACGGCAAGCAATTTGAGAGACTGAGCTAGCCGATGGCAGATAGATAGATAGATAGATAGATAGATAGATAGATAGATAGATAGATAGATAGATCATTGAATGATTTTGTGAGCAACTCAATCTGCCTGCTTTGCCTGATTTTGGGTAAAGTTGCTCTTTTTTTAATTAAAAAATTCAATATTTATATAAATATTTATAATATTTACATACAAGCCATGCCCAGCCAGTCACATTACCACCAAGCCACACCCACAAATTAGGCCACACCCACAGAACCAGTTAGTGGTCCCTGGGATCTAAAATTATGAGTTTGGTGTCCCTGAGGTCCAAAAGGTTGGCAACCCCTGGACTAGTCCAACCGCCTGCTGAGGCAGGAAAACTGAAGGTGCCAAAATCTGAGTAGAGGTCCTGGGAAAGGTATCAGAATAACAGAATAACACTTAGAAGGGACCCTATACCATTACAGAGAAATGGCTGTCCAGTCTTTTCTTAAAAACTTACAGTGATTGAACACCCAGAACTTCTGCAGGCAGGCAGTTCCACTGGTTAATTGTTCTCACTCACAGGAAGTTTCTCCTTAGTTTTAGGTTGCTTCTCTCTTTTGTTCAGTTTCCATCCATGCTTCTTGTTTGCCTTCTGGTGCTTTGGAATATACATTGCACCCCCCACTTCTTTCTGGCAGCCTCTTAAAAGCCTATCACACTCTTGGGCAAAGCATGTGAGCCATTTCCTCCTTTCAGTGATCCATGAAAGTACATCTATAGTATGTAGATAATAAAATCAAAAAAAGTGAACAACATTTTTGCAGAACTATAGATACATTGAGGCTGCGTGTGACAAGGAATGGCTGGGAGGGGAGGGGCCAGGTGAGGTACCCTTGACGTGAGTGACATTGAATTGGCCACACCCACCCAGTCACATGACCTCCAAGCAAAGCTCACAGAACCGATAGTAAAATTCTTTGAATCCCACCAATGACAAGATTGTTACAAAATACTATAGCTTTAACTCCCTGCTTTTACCTATAAAAATTATGTTTCTGTATAGTCTGTTAATGCAATGATATGCTAATAGTAATTATCATGTTATGTTTTGGGCTGAGAAAAGCAAAGTAGTTTTACTAGTGAGTGAACCATTTAAAGAATTTGTTTGAATCACTATTGTTATTGTTTCTATGTCTACACAGGTACATCGAAGCTTCATGGTTTCTCTGGGTCTCGCAGATGAATCATATTCCAATGAATATTGACTATGATCAGAATTTAGACTGGTTCTCTGCCCAGGTGAGATAGTTTCTTACAAATGTTGGATCCTTAGTTCTGAAACACAGGGCCAGATCATGCTGCTGTTTTCTTAAATATTTCATGCCCTTAACTACATGGAAACATGCTCTTATAGGTAGAGCAGGTAATACAAATGGAATGTCTACGCTGGCAGCTAGAAATCACTCCCATATTGCAGTTTCTGAGCAAATCACAATTGCACAGTGATGCCATTTCTCATCTCATGGAGAAAAGTTACAGGGACAAACAATGAACTAATTGTCCACAGTAGATAATGAGATGGTAAACAATGTAGCACATTGCCTGTTAATCTGCCTTGTTTCTTCAGTAAAGCAGGAATAGCACCAATGCTATTCCTCCTCCATCCAAAAGGACACTATATAATTCCACATCCCCACGTGTGGATTTCAATTTACATAATTGTTCTTTTTGTGGTCATAAACCAGATTTTCCATGGCATAAAAATTAACTTTGTAAGATGCATTGATCCACAGAAAAAGAACATAGATCCATAAGGCTAACATATTGATTCCAGATAGGAATAGGCAAAAATTTATGGTGATAGTGGAAACACTGCCATTTTCTCTTTATAATGTAGGGAAGAACATATTGGAGTGTTGAAATACATTTTGTTGGAATATTGATGCAACAACTACAGTAGTATGCAGCCAGTAGATAGCAGTGTTTACAAGTTTGGATCTATGGTATATATCAGGGGTGTCAAACTCATGGCCCACAGGCCAGATGCGTCATGTGTTGGCCCGCCCCCGCCCGATTTAGCGAAGGGGAAAAAAGTCCCGATGCATCACTTGACAATACTGTGACGATGCGAGTTTGACACCCCTGGTATATATTCTATGCTTTTTGTACTAAGTAGGGTTTCCTGTTACAGTTGAGCAATTAATCAGTAAAGCACATAGTGACTGTACTCGTTATTTGATCTATGGTGCTATATATAAACAGAATTTCTAACATGGAGGAAGTCTAATTCTCCTGATGGTAGTTACACCAATCTCCCCAGAAAGGGTAGAGTGACTGTGTAGATGTGAAGAAAAAAAACCTACCAATGATTTTTTTAAAAGCATGTTTTTTCATGCTTTCTTGGTGCCCTTTTCCTTTAGGGCTTTTTACCAGATATTATGGGACTAGAGATTGGATTGGATACATTCAGTTTCAAACTGTGGTTTAGGCAAGATAATTAAGGGATGAGACCAAATGACAAGATAATATGAATAGGCCTCTGGCAAGCATTAGACAATTTAAAGTTGATACCTGAAACCTGATTACAGTGATGCAAGTTAACAAGAGAAACAGCATATAGTTGTTGTGACATTAATAACAGATTATTTCTGCATAGAAACCACAAAGAAAGAATGAAAGATTATGAGAGACAAGACAGGTTTTCTCTCTTTTTTAACAGTAAATCCTAAATATAAATGCACAATGGCACTTGTATATTATCTTATATGTCCTCCAAATGTAAGCTAGTACCATCCTTATTATATCATTACTGTTGGTACATCCTTATATTACCCATGTATATATTTCATTTGGATTCTACCTTTTCTTTATGGGACTTACAGTCAGTTTTTAAGGTAGCTCTAAAGATTGGTTTATTCATACACAATTTCCCTGTTCTAATTTCTGTTTTCTTTTCTTTTATATTTGTAGTAGCATGATATAATGCTGAGGGAGGGAAATGGTTAACTGCTAATCAGTGGTGGGATTCAACCGGTTCTAGACAGTTCGGGCGAACTGGTAGCTATAATTTTGGCTGGCCCTACCCACCCCACCCGGTGGTCCTTGAGGCCCAGAGGACATCCAATGGAAACACCCCGTTTCCTGCTTCCATTGGGCTGTCTGCGCCGCAATGGATCAGGAAGGGGAGGGGGGAAGCAAAAAGCCTACTAGGTCCATAGGTACTCACCATCACAATAGCAAATCTCTCCAGGCACCAATTCTCCCAGCCCGCCACACAATTGGACTCCCTTTCTTCTAGTGCTCATGCGGGAAACAAGACTTGTAGCAGCAGCAACAATTTGGAGCTTGTTAAGAAGGACTGCTCCTCCACCCCAGCCATGCGTTTTCCAGCCTGAGCTGCTTGGAGTGAATAGCATGCAATAAGCTGCTGCTCCCATGATTCCCTGAACAAGCGCTGGAAGAAAGGGAGTCTGATTGTGAGGCAGGCTTTTCCAAGGCAGGTCATAGAGGGAAACAGTGAGTGTTCCTTGCCTCCCCATGGCTCTAATTCTTTAAAATTTTGGGTGGTTGCGCACGTGGAGAGCTGGGGAAATCAGTGCCTGGAGTGAGAGGGGAGCCCGGGCTGACTGGTTGGGGAAAGAGTACCGGACTTCCACTGCTCATGCTAGGAGAACAGCCTGCTGCGCCAGAGGGACTTGCTCACGTGCCATCTCCTTGCAGAAGATCCCGGCACTGTGAGATGCATGCACTGTGCACGCTCTGTCTATATTAACATATCATGTATGTTAAGCAAAGACCCTTGAACCTGGAAAAGTGAAACTGATATTGCTTTTTAATGTCTGTTAAATTAATTTTTTAAAAAGTATGAGTAAATAAGGTTTTGACTCCTTGTTTTCTTGAGAGAGTACTCTCTTTTCAGAGCAGGGATTCCTTTTCTTTCCTTGCCCCCTCCCTGGGATTTCTTTGGCACAACTTTATTTTTCCCCTCCTCTGGGCTTTTCAAAAACCTAACCTCCCTCCCTCCTCCCCTCTCTCTCACACACCCACGCACACACAGAGGTTGGATCTTTCCTCCTGGCCCATACAGGCAACACCCACGCCAGTGATGTAAAGTTGGCCATGCCCACCTAGTCACATAACCACCAAGCCAAACCCACCTAGTCACATGACCACTAAGCCGTGCTCACAGAACCGATAATAAATTTTTTTGAATCCCACCACTGCTGCTACTGTATGTTTATATTATTATTTTTATTAAAATTGGAGGGTACATTAATTCATATGATTTCATTATGCCCAGTTTTGATTTCTGTTTAAAATAAAATTAAAGCCCATAAAAGTAGATTTATGTATACAGTAGAACCTCTGGTCAAAAAAGCTTCTGACCAAGACCAAAAAATTCACATTTTTTTTCGTGGCTGATTTCTCCTTCCACACCATTTTTTTTTAAAGTACCAAATTTCCAAAATTAGCTTTGGGTCATGACCAAATCAGGTTGCGACCAAAGTTATGGAACAAATTATGGTTGTGACCAGAGGTTCTACTATGAATGTTTTATATTGAATCTTATTTTGAATATATTCTGAAATCATGCAAGCTGCTCTGTTTTTAGGAATTATATGAACTATATAAAATATAATTATGAAACATTTTTGAGGAATTATTAGGTAAAATTATATTGGATCAAGTAAATGGTATTGAAAGACGGAAGTCTGGATATTAAGGCAGGGGTGGGATTCAACCGGTCTTACTACCGGTTCGGTCAGAGTGCTGTGACCGTGTGTAAAACAATTGCGAAAAAACAGCTATGCCTCCTGGACAGCACACAAGTGCTGCGCGCGGCTGCGCAGCATTTGAAAATTGTCTTTTTTCCTGCTCTTTCAACCTCAGCTGTGCCGCGCAAAGCAGCTGAGGTTGAAAAAGCAGGAAATAAAGGACAGCCAAGAGTCCGGGCAGACAGGTGGACCAAACAGACGACCAAAAGGTTGTCGCACCGAACTGGTTTGGTGCCTGATGTTCTTCAGAGGTACCAGTTCTATAGAACTGGGTTGAACCGGTAGCATCTCACCACTGTATTAAGGGCTGGATTGGAGAAAATCTAACTTTTTTAAAAAGCTACTTGTTCTAACCAATTAAAACTTTTAAATTTGTTTCTGTTTTCTGTTTATTTAATTAAAACACAATAATAATTCATTAATTATTTTAGAAGGATACTGTATTTTGAAAATAGGAGAAAAATAATTGGTTTAAATCTGTTTGCTGATGGCTGACGGAGCTTTGGACGTTGCTCTTCTTGATTCTAGCCTAATGTCCTAATTTTCACAGAACTAATTACATAATATTTCCATGTCTACTTCTAAAGAAATAGTTCAATAAGGATGACTCAGGGAAGCCAACTTTAGATTCGGAGGTTGATTGATTCACTCCAAAAGAGAACTATATTTCTCCTGAAAAGAAGCTAGCCTGTTAAGCAGAATAAGCCATTGAATCTGAAATGTCATCAATATCCTAGTCTGTGCAAATTTCTTCCCACACATATATACCATTGGATTTCATCCCATGCACATAGCACCAGTACAGTAGTTAGCCTGGATTGTCTGGCCTGGATTCAGGAATATTTCTAATGTCATTCTGGGCAGTGGCCATATTATAAATCTAAAATGAATGATGGTTTACAATACTGTAAATTGATATAATTATTTGTACTGTTGATAGAAACTAGGAAGAATATGAAGGAAGTCATTGGAAGTCTACATGTTTTTATTTCCCCCTTAGCTCTCAGCAACATGTAACGTGGATGAATCTCCATTCAATGACTGGTACACTGGGCACTTGAATTTTCAGATTGAACATCAGTAAGTATAAGTTATATAGAAAGGTTGTACAGTATATAATGCAGCTTTTGTACAGCTTTTCTCACCACTAAGTACCACCTGCATATTATGGTCCAAGTTTTAATCCAAATGATGGCTGTGGCCAGGATTTTTGGCTAGTTTTAAAGAAAGTAGATCTTGTCCCAGTATACATGCTGTGGCTATTCCAGACTGGATTTGGGGATCTATCCTGTTAAAATGCCTAGAAACAGCATTTCATAAAAAACGCAGCAGTGAAACTGATATCTAGAGCTTGGGCTTTTCATATCTTACTTCGAGTTATATAGCAGATTAAATGGTTGATAATTATAATTCATTTCTGGACCAAGTCAAAATGCTGGTTTTCACCTTTAAAATTCTTAACCAGGATTACAAAACCTGAGAGCAACTCCACAGTACCCTACTACAAAGTGACTCATAAGGAAAGATGATGGTTCAGCAATAATCAGAAGGACCTCAGCTTGTTCATCCTTACCCAAAACTTTCTGGGAACCAGAAAGGTGAAAGGTTATCCCCTTCTGTATCAACCTGCCTGTATGCAGTACTGAATAGGAAAGGAGAACTCTTTGCCACTGAGATGGGAAGGGCAGTGATGACAGCAGGATCCAAATCACAGAAGTATCTTCTACTGTGTCCTCTTGATCTTTTCCCTCTCTTTCCACAGTCTTTTTCCAACCATGCCTCGACATAATTATTACAAGGTGGTTCCCCTGGTGAAATCCCTGTGTGCCAAGCATAACATTAAGTATGAATGCAAGCCCATGCTCACTGCTTTTGCAGATATAGTGCGGTAAGTATAAGCCAACAGGAAAAAGGCTGTTAGGAATATAAGTCACCTAACAGGTATTTGGGTTAGAAATATATAAACCAGGATAAACATTTTAGTACTATATCTTTAAGGGAATGCAAGAGCATGCAATTGAGTGTGGTTTCTCAAACAGCCATAAGATGGAGCCAGAAACCTGGGTTGTTTAGTCTTAGTCTTAATCTCAGAAGAGAGTGTGACTCTATCTCTGTTTCCTTCTGTTGGAAAGTATTGCCATTGTTCCATTTCTTCTAATTGACTGATATTACTGGATTTAATGTAAGTCTGATACTGAACTGTTTCTGACACTGGAATTTGATATTTGGATTATCCCTGGATTGAAAAACTGACTGATTTACCTGTGAATGACTTTTGGACTGCTTATCTTGAACTTTGCTTAAACCTTTCTGGAAGTAAAAACCTACATTTACTGTACAGTGTATCTGTGTGCTGTGTGTGTATTATTCAAACACTTCTCTCAAAATACGTCTCCCTGTATGCGCTCATTCTCCTAACGGGGAATTACCTCAACAAAGGCCGCTTGCAGGCATGTTATCAAGGGAAGATCAGTGGGGCAACATAATATATCAAGTGGACAGTAGCTTGAAAGAACTCATTGCTGTTCAAATATGCTTTTGATTAATATTTGTAGAGATTATCAGTGTGCTTTTGATGAAGGTGTTCCCTGTTCTTTTTCCCTCTGCAGCACCTTGAAGGAATCAGGAAAGGTCTGGCACAATGCTTATTACCAGGAATAAAATCAATACCAGTGAGGAATTGGGATGGCTGCACTGAAAGAACACCTGAACTTCTCTCTTAGCCTTTGTAATTTAAAACAATTTAAATAATAATAGTTTTTTTTTCCTATTGATTGTTTTATAATGTTGTTGTATGCCACCCAATCAGTTTTCATGAGATGGATAGCCTTGTACAGTTGATGAATATATAAATAAATAATCTTGAAAAGGAATCTTGTGCTATTCTCCTATTCTGGATGGATGGATGGGTGGATGGACAGATAGACAAACAGAGAAGCAGAGGTCAAGATGATAAATGATCTATTCGACAAAGAACCACCCAAGATGTACTCCCAACTGCAGTGCAACACCAAAGGAACATAAAAGCTGCCTGTCAGCAAGCCTGCTGCTTGCTGCCGTGGAAATGTGGGGTGGGGTGGGGGGGCGTTCAGTGGAGAATTTTCCTTTGCAGCTTTGAAACTACTGGTCTTAGTTTTGCTTATCTCTTCATGGTCATTTCTTCTAGCTTTGGTATGCAGCAGCCAGAGACAATGTACTTGAATCAAACTTTCTCAACACATTTCCTGTCCAGTGCTTGCCCTCTGATTGCCTGGATACAAGGGGATTGGGCTCTATGGTTTGTTTCAATTTCATGCTTCGTGCACTTTTGCCTCAGATCTTGCCTGAAACTTGTTGCATTCAATTCTCTCCTAGTAAAAGTACTTTTTCTCTAAATCTATGGAGCCAATGTTTTTTTCTTTCCTAGGCAGTAGATAGAGGAAGACCTGACATTAGGCAAGATCTGCTTTAATGGTCAACCTGGAGATAGCAATCTACCATATGGACCGAGCATCCAATGTCCAACCATGGGAGTAAGCTGGAATAAACCAGAGCTATAGCGAGCTCCCCCTCTAGACTGCACCATGCTCAAGATAAGGCAAAATTACAAGAGGAGCTGGACCTCAATCAGAAGCCTATCAGGCCCAGGTGGTCTCTGGATGTGGGGAAAAGGAACGTTCTCCACTGAGCCAAAGGGAGAATCCAGGATGGGTAGTCTCTAGTCTCATAGCTCTGCAGACCGAGTTGAAAAAACTGAGGACACACTCCCTGGTAATGGTCCCCAGTTCTTCACTCGGTCTCAGCGTGTTCAGACCACCTTTAAGGGCTCTGAATAGTTAAGATTGTAGAAGAATCTTCACCCCCTGGATTGAGTTGTTTTTTTCCTCTTCAAGTGGCTTAGAGCAGGTTTGACAGCTAGCCGGCTTGCCGGTTAGCACTTTTGTTTTTCGCATTTTTGGTTTTTTTGACTGCCTTTTTTAAAAAAATCTTTGCTGGTAGACTGGTTTTTGGAATTGTGATTGTAAATTTGGTTGGAGGTGCCCCTGAGAGCCCGTGTGGCCCGGGCTGGCGGGGGGGCGGGAGTCAGTGTCTTATTCAACTCACTTTATCCTAGTCCATTCTTATTGATCTGTGCTAGCTGCAAAAACCGCAAGGCGCTTCTGCCCCTTTTCAGCATCGGCGGCCATTTCAGACGTTTCGGGGCAATTCTGCAGTTTGTCTCCAGGATTGTCCCTTGGGGGGGTACTGGCCATCTAGATTGAATCCTGACCTCCTGTCCAGTCACCAGAGCACTGTGGCAGCTGTGAGATGCTTGAGACTGCCAAATTGATTGCAGTGCAGCCAGCACTGGCTCACAAGCCTCTGATCTGTCAGGGCTTGTAGCAATTTTTTTTTAATTAAACAAATTTTATTAATTTTTAAAAACAATACACAAACACAATGTAGAATATAATAACATAAGACATCTTTTCTGAAAAACAAATAAAACATCTTATTTAAAGACAGGATAATTCCAAATTATCACATTCCCATACAAGCACAATTTAATATGTATATTTATCTTATCTGTTCAACTTCATATCTTTTCCCAACTTCTCTTTATTTCTCCCTTTCCTTGTATTAAATTATATTTCTTTTGCCTTGAATTGTACATATTCATTGTATCCATCTGTCTTATTTACAATTTCGTTATTCTCTTCCAACATTCTTCTAGCGTTTTATTAATTCAAACATAGGCAAACAAAACACAAAACATAAATACATAAAACTTCTTTTTGGAAAGCGGCTTACCCCGGGTTACATCTTGTTGTACAGACATAAATCAAATTCATGCTCACTTAATATACTATTTCATATCTTATTTAACATTGTATATTTTCTATATATTTTCTCTCTTCTATTCACTCTCTTAATTCTATTTTGTTTATTTCATCTCAGTTTAGATAATTATACTTGCATCTTTTGTCCGTTCTCTTTCAATTATCTATTTATCTTTTCTTTCTAATACAATATTTCTCCTGTAATCACTGGTTGAAGTATGACAACTTTTTATCTTTCCCCTAACTTTAACACTTAAAATAATACATACTTTCCATACTGATTCTGCTTAGTACATTCTAAGTACTACATTTTAGAATAATAAAACAACAACAACAAAAAAGAAAATTAAATTTATAATATAGTAAAAACAATATTCCATAGGAAGTTAAACTCTATTGTTAAATCTTAAACATTTTTGTACGTTCCCTTTAATGCATTATTAACTCATATAATATTTCAGTTTTCTAACTCAATTTCAAATACTAATATCTACAATACAGTCTTAGGTACTTTTGCAGAATCTTTTTTTTTAAATTATATTTTACCCTTTATCTCTGAAAAAAACCTGTTTTTTAACATCCTGTTTTAAACCTTTATGACTTCTCTTTCCTTTTTCCCTTCCTTTCTTATCAATTCTAGCCTTTTTGCCCCCCCCATCTCTCAAACTCCATTCTCTTAATCTCCCCTCTCTGTTGTATTTCTCTTTTCTGTTGCTTTCTGACATTGTATCGATTTTTCATCTTATTTTTCCCTTTCTTGGTTGCTTTTTTAAGTTCTGAGTTCTCCATTTTCTTTCCCCCCTTTCTCTTTTTTTCCTCAACTAAGATTATTTGTCCATTAAAGATGGCTTCTTCTTCTTCTTCATCCCAGCCTTCTTGTTGTTGTATTTCTTGGTAGGTAGAAATCACCATTTCTAAAAAGTGAAAAATAGATCCAGAAGAGCCCTTGCCTTCTTGTTCCTCTTCTTTTAGCTTTTGAAATTCCATTTGCAATTCTTCAACAGATAATGCCATTTTTTTTAAGAACAACCCAAATGTTTTAAATCTTTCAAGAAATAGTTCCCAAAAATCCCAAAGTCACAAAGCAATCTAAATCAGGACAAACTGTTTCATTTAGCACTTTCTTCTTTTTATATTTTCTCTTCCTGGGGTAGAATTCAATTACACAGTTCCAAAGTAATTTTTTAGAAGTCTTATTGCCATTTATTTCTGGTCTTATAAACCCCAAGCAGTCTCCTTCAATACAATCTTAAAATAAGTTCTTTACCTCTTCCCTCCCACTTATAGCAAAAAAAAAAAAAAAAAATTAGTTTTTAATTACAATGTTCAGAAATCTTTTATCCCCTTGGCTTTAAATTTCAAGTTTAGTTACCTTCTGTGCCCAAGCAGGTTTTTCAGATTTCCATCTGCTATTTCCGTGGGGAAGGAGAGTGAAAGAAAATAACTTTCCCTTTCAGACTTTCTTCTGCTGCTTTGCAGTCTTCTTGGGAAACAATGTATCATTCAAGTGATTAAATTTCCAGGGTGTTTAAAGGTTCCTTGTTGTCCCAGATCAGCCAAAAACTTTTGCTTTCTCCGACTTCCTCCTGCACAATCTTATCCGGCTGCAGGCTTCTTTATGGCAGCCATTGCTGACCGCCGCTCCACCGCCTTGGGAAAAAGGAGTTTAGCCAGCTGAGGAGGGGGTTTGCGATACCCCCAAGCCCCTACCCAGATCTCCTCTATCTTCGGTTGCCTCTATGGGGCAACCATATCCTCCAGATCCAGCTGGATCGGAGGCATTTTGGCGGCGAGCGCAGCAGGAACCGCGCACGATCACAGATTCCTGCCACCGCCGAAGCCTTGCAAACCGGAAGTCCTCCCGGGCTTGTAGCAATTTTAAAGAGTCAGCCATTTTATTTTATTTTTTCCTTTTTGCTTTGACTCTTGCCTTAAATTGCGGAGCTGTGCTGAGCTCACCACTTCTGGGTTGCACTAGCCTCCTGAAGTGGTGGACAGCTGCTGTGACCAAAGCAGACAGCTTTAGATCAAATAAATTTTGTTTTTATTTTTCTTTTGCCCCTTTTTTCCTTTTCTCTCTCCCTGTCAGTGACAATTATTTTTGGCAGGCTCAAAATGGCCGCCAGGGGAGCTGGCCAAGAATTATCAGCTCCTCAGCAGAGTAGGGAGAGAGCTGTAAGGAGATCAACTAAGGTCTGTTGGGCTGGAGGCAGCAGCTAGGATCAGAGCTTGGACCCTAGCCCCTAAAAGACCCTCTAGGGCAGAGGATAGGCAGGCCAGGCATAGACAAAAAGCCCTAGATAAGGAGTTTGATAAGGCGGTGAGAGACTCCAAGATGGCTGAAAACAGGGCCATCTCTCCTCTGCTCCCACAAGATGGCAGGCAGCAAAACCAATTGGCAGATAGACAATATTTGACTGCCTGATATCCTGGTGGCTCAAGTACTCAGAATTTGCAGGGAAACCTCCAAATCAAGGCAAAAGCCACTCATAATAATTCTGAGCCACCGCAAGGATTTTTGATTGCTGCACCTGGAAGCCAAGCCTCCAGCACCAGACCTGTGCCTGAAAATAAAAAAGCCATCTTTACCCTATAGTGACTGGGTTGCGGCCTGAGGAGACCCACAGGCAAGAGATGCCATCCTTCATGAGAGCCTGGATCTCCCAAACAATTAGGCAAGAATTTCAGGCTTAAGTCAACCAGCTGCGCTGGCTGCCTGGTTTGGACACCAACAGAGGCATTCCTCAGGGGCAGGGGCAGGCTTCTGCAGAACAGCCAGTCTACTTCAGAAATAGTTCTGCATCCCCTTCAGAAAGAAGCCAGTCTTATGTTTCCGAGAGGGACCTCCTTCTAGAGAGGGCTTTTTGGACAGGGAGTCAGAGGTAGCAGGTCCCCCCTCCTTTAAGGACCTTTTCCAGCTGGCTCTCTCCAAGACTCTGCTGGTTAAGGCTAAGAGCACAGTTCATCTTAGAAAAAGGGACAAGGTCACCGGGATCTTTCCCCAGAGGGGGAGGATCAGGAAGATTACCTATTCACTGAGAAAGCATCTGTGGTGGATGCTGTGCCTATGCCCCAGACGTTTATGAATGTGATTAAAAAGCAGTGGGAGTCCAATGGGGGGGGGTACACTTGCCCCAGTGGGTCTGAGTCTACCTTATTTAATGGGTGGCTGTGGCAGCTGCAGGGTAGAATCCCACCTGAGGACCTCAGGATGCATCAGGACTTAAATAAGATAATAGCCGCAGCTCAATCAACAGCAAATGCCATCCTCACATCAGCCAAAACTTCTTCCAGAGCCATGGCCTCATCTGTACCAGCATGTAGGCTCATCTGGCTAAGAAACTGGCAGATGGACTCCAGAAACAAATGGAAGCTGGCGTTTGCTCCCTTCAACGGAGAGAGGCTTTTTGGGAAAGCCCTGGATCCCTTTTTTTGATGGAAACCAGGGACAAGTGAAAGATCCTGCCCTCCCAGGGGAGGCGTTTTGAAGAGGAAGCTGGGGCAAGCTTTCCCTGTCAAAGTAGGCTCTTCTTCCAAAGATCCTCATTTCGGGCCGATAGACCAGCCTTTGCCGCC